GGTATTGAACGGTGACCAAAGGCAAAATTGGGGCTGATAAGAGGAAACATTGCGTTTAATGGTTTCCAGATGATGAGAACAATGTACAGTAAGGGCACAAAGTGTGAGATTCATAGAAAAGTTTTCCTAAGAATATTTCCAATCCTTTTCTCACACAAGAGAAAATGGGTTAGGGGGCGTTGGGTATAACTTTATGGAACAAAGGGGGCGGTGGATCGAAAAAGTTTGAGAATCACTGTGCTAGATCATTTAATATGTTAATATATAACTTTAGAGAACTTAGCTTTTTTCATTAATTTATTGAAAACTGAATAAGCAAATCAAATTGATAATAAAATGAGATTTTCACAAAAGGTTGTGGTTATTTATAAATTTTAAAATATGTTATGTAAATACTGTATTTAAGGTAATAAAAATGCTTTTATATTATGTACCCATGTCTGTACATAGCTTAAATGTTTTTTCAGAAATATTATAGCTAAAATCTTTTAGTTTTATGTAATAAATGTTTTTCATTTTTAGTATTATTTTTATAAATTAATAACTTTAATAGTTAAGAATTATTTGAATTTAAAGCATTAATGTAAGTTTAAATTTACATAGTATCTTCATTGATCATTGTATCATACTTTGAATTTACACTATATTTTGGACTAATTTGGAATTTAGCAATCATTGTTATGTTAAAGGAAATATGAATATAAAATAGGTTTTCTTGTTAGTTTTCAGATTCTGATGATTCTGTTTTAGAAGATGAATTTGAGGGAGAAGAATGTAAAGAGGAAGTAAGAAATTTTAATATATAATTGATTTAAATAAATATTATTGCATAATCATAATGGTAATTTTTAAAGCAATCAGAATTACATGATGATGATGATGATGATGATGAAAAGTGTAGAGATGATGAAGAAGAAGAAAAATTGAAGTAACAAATAAAAGACTATATCTGTTATCAGTATTGTTATTTTTCAATATAAAATAGCCATAAAAATTTTCTTTTCAGTGAAAATTCTGATGATGAATTATTAACAAACATTTCTGAGAAGAAAAAGTTTGTTCTTCCAAGTGGTCAAGAACTTGAAATAGAAAATATCCTTAAATATGAAATATATATGTAAATAATAAGGCTTAAATATTTATATGTGGCAGTGTCTGTAAAAAGGAACCTTTAAAGTGGAAAATAAAAAATTGATTGCAGTTTTTAGAAATAATTGATATGAACAGTTTATGATATTTTTATATTATATTTGTGATAGGATAATTTAAATCAATGCTTTTTGCAAAATCAATGTTTAAAATGTTTACAGACACTACCACATGTACTGTATTTGTATGTGTGTTATAATAATATACAGTAGAGCGTTGATTTTCCGAATCAATTGGGGACTGGGGTTGTTCGTATAACTGATATTTCGGATAACCAATTTATGTACGAAAAAATAGTTTAACGTAGCCGATGTTAAAATTTTTATCCGTTGCGTGTCGCTTCGTGTTGAATTTTTGTCGATGTTAAGCCTAACGAAGACTATTGTATCGTTAAAAATTATTTTTTTATTTTGTACAAACAAAATAAATATATTGAAAAATATAAAAACAATAAAAAAATATACTTCAGATGTTAATTTAGTATCAAAAATGTAAAATATTTGAGTAGCCCAAGACATAGCCAAAGATTGAAGCGCCACAGCACTGGCGAAAATTTAAATTTGCCGACTGGAATTATTTCAGATGATTGACTTTCGGAAAATCGACGCTCTACTGTATATTAAACAATATGAAAATAGAAATGTAGTCAAATTTTGATTTAGTACTGCCATTTATTCATCTCTGAAATTGGTATGAAATAATGTGCAATTCTAAATTGAAGAACCTCAGAAAATGAAAATTATATATGAAGCTAATATGCAAAATGAATTATGTCCAATTTTTAAAAACATTGCATTTTTGCTATGGTGCTTATTCCTTACTGAATGTAGTATTTTTTGAAGCAGCATAAAACCAAAACAATTAACATCACTGTTGTTTATAGTACTGTATACATTGTTAATCCATGTGAATCAAGTTAAATCCAATCAACACCACTGTGCACTATGCACATAACTTGTTTTGCATGTCAGCTCTTCATATATTAATGAGATTTAAATACAAGTTTGAGAGTTAAAGCCATATGATTTGATGATGATGTCATTTACAATGAAAAATTATACACTTAGGGATATGAATATTTAAAATGTGTGGGGACAGTCCATTCACTTGTATTTATTGTTTCTTTATGAGCATAGTTCTATTTAAGAGAGCACTAAATCAAGATTTAACTGTATTTAGATATATTTTTGAATTATTGTCTTTATATCTTGGTGGTTATTTTAAGTATGTTTAGCTTGTATAATGCTTAAGTAAATTTATTTCATCTGTTTGTAAAATAAATTGACATTTCCTAAATTGAAAAGAAACAGTTAGTAATTATTTTCAAGCTATTTTACATTTATAATATTTTTGAAATGTTTTGCAATTATTAAGAAATCTCAAATTGTTAAGAAATTAGGTAAGATCACCAAAAGTGTTGATTTTCAAGTTCTGAAGACTTATTGAATAAAACAACCACTTGATATTAGCAATGACAATTGCTAATGTCAAGCAGTTGTTGTATTCAACAGGCAGAAAAGCAGCATCAAAACAAATCAAGTTGGACAAGTTTTTTAAGAAATTGTGAAATCAAGTGAAGTGCTAATGAGCATACTAATTTGCCTCTTTTTGTGTTTACAGTATATACAGTTTCTGTCAGCTTTCTTGTACACATGTATGGCATAAAATATGATCTTGTAACATAGATGTTTCTCTAGAATAAAGATATAAGTATTTCTTATGTGTAGTGAATTAAAGAAACTGAATTTTTTTTCAAATAATTGATATTTTCCTGAGATGTGCAGGAAATCTGTTATTTGCGATTTAATGGATTCTCAAAACAACAGATGATTTTTGGTGGCTTGAGTGATCCATTAAAACAAGATTATACTGTTTTATTTTATACTTAGGCAACAGCATAGCTTGACTATGTTTTGCTAAATGGGTTCTGAAAACATGAAAAAACTCTTTTCATTCTTAATTCTATAAATTCTGTAATATTTTAAATTAAATTTGCAGTATTTCAAAATGCTTTGTTTTTGTCTGAAATTTTTTACTCAATTTATTTATTTATAAATTTTTTATTATGTTAGATGAAAGTGAATGTATTTTTTATTTGGCTCATTCACTTAGGATTTTTGACTAATTTTCAAGTATACAATTTTAAATATCATTTAAATAGATTATACAATTGAACAAAAAATCCTTGATTACTATTATGTTATATGTATAAATTCATTTTCTAATTAATTTGTTATTTATTTATGCTGAAAATATTATATTAATAATATTTTCAGCATATTATATATATTGTGTATATACAGTGTGTATATTGTGTGTATATATATATATACACACAATCTCTATATTTTTTATATTTTAAAACCTTAATTAATTTTTAAAATCCCAACCTCCAGATCTAGTTATTATCAATCAAAGAATTAAAGATATAATAGGTATTGTTAGTAATTTTGCCACCCGTCGTGAAGAGAACAGGTATATTATAAGTTTTTTATTTTTTAAATTTAGATTTTAAATTAATTAAAATTTATTTTATTAAAAATTTAAAATATGCATAAAATCAAATCATCATTTCAAAAGAACGATGTAGAGAATTTTTTTTTGTTATGAAAGTTTAGTTTTTGTACTATTTGTTACTTTGCACATGTCAAGATGATGATTGTTAACTGCAATTAATGATGATGATTTTTGATAATTACTAATTGTAAGAAATCTAAATTTATAAACATGAAAATATGGCACTATTATAACTCACAAGGCATATATAGTACATCACAGAAAATTGTAAAGGCAAAAATCTTTATACAACCTGTTCCATCATGCATTTCACACCTATGGAGAAGTCATTGCTCTGTAAGTGCGAGACCATGATTGCAATTTAAAATTGACATATAAACCATATCTGTTTCAAGTTGTCTTTTAAACATACATGTTATACATGTATGTTTATTAAAAGACATGGGTTATACATGTAAAATAAGGTAGATATTACTGAATAATAATAAATATTTTGTGAAGTATTGTGAGAAGCTGGGGATTAGAGAGTAAAGCTCTAAACCCCTTTGATCGGCGTCAAGTTGGTAAAACTCACTCACATCACAATGTGAGTTGGCTGGATGGCTAGAAGGGCTATAAATCGAGTGGGAAGGTTGCGGATAATTCAATAGGATGACCGTTTCCTGAAACAAGGACAGGTTACCAGGTTAACGAATAACAAAAGTTTAATGAATACATAGGTGAACTACAATGGAGATAAAACTATGTCTATGGTGATAACTTACATACTAAAATACTAAACATTAAATACATTGCTAAATACAGTGCTAAATATGTTGCTCGCAAGACTAAGAGAGAGAGAGAGTTTACAATAACTGCATAATACCTCATGTAGACAATTAGTTGTCTACATGAATTCCAATTCATTCAAAGGTCGGCGAGATGCTTGGGGATATTCCTTGGAGGTTGCTTCTGAAGGAGAGACAAAATTGGTGATGTAGATATTGCCAGATGGAACGTTGTGTATGGTTCCACAAAATCTTTTCGCCCCAACGATCGAGTTTGAGCCCTTTTTATCCTACGGAGTGTGGGGATCTAATCACATGATTTTGATTTAATGTGGTCTAAGGTCGAGATGTGTCATTGCATCAGCCAGAGCAGTCTGATTCTTTTAACCATATAAGGCAACAAATTCGAAGTTCTTAGACATCACCATCAAGATGTTGAGACTTTTCTTACTTCATAATTTAACCAATTTTGACATTTCGCCCCCATTAATAACCAGATGTTTAGCTTTATTTTCTACACTTTTTCAAAAGATTGTTAAAATTGTCAATTTGTACAGTTATTTGATTGTTTTATCTCTCAGTCAGAGGGCAATTCAAAGGCCAGGTGGTAGGAAAAGAAAGTGGGGTTTTTCCACTTCGTAATTAACTGTGTATTAATTTTCTTCCCTTAATTTAACTAATTAATCAGTCCATAATCCCACAGTATCATTGAAAGAAATTAAAAGGATTAAATGTAGTAATCATGGATGTTAAAAATGAGTTCTCTTGGTTGAATCTTTGGACAACTATCTAGTCAAAATTATCATTTTAAAGTAGTAATGTTTTTATTAACCAGCAAAACCTATTTATAATGTATATCATTTGCAAATTGTTTTATGAAAAATATTAAATAGAATTAAAAATCAGTCTTTTAAGGAAATTTTAGTACTTTGAAGCAGATATATAGTATATGTAAATAAAAGCCAGACAATTGCTTGTTGCAAAGATTTTATGAAATATAATTTATTCAAATATCATCTAAAAGCTTTATCTATATACAAATATAAACATCCATTAATTTGTTATTTAGGTTAATGTGAAACAATTGCCAGATTTTATCATGCTATAATAATAGGGTTTCTCAAACGGGATCCCGGTTGTTTTTTTAACCCGGGAAATTTTTCTTATCCCGGGAAATCCCGCAAATTTCTTAAAAATTCACTTTTTTTCTTATTTTGTGTTAAGGTTGAGGAATTTTGCAAATAGAAAGCATAATTAACTCATAAACTGTCAGAATACATTTGTATTTATCAATTTTAAACCTACTTATTAGTTTCTTAAGTTTTTGCTCATTTAT